CAGTGAGACTGTCAACGATAATTTGCAATGAGCAGACGAGTACTCGTGCCCATTAACAGGGCGCCTGAGGTCACTCACGATTAGATGGCTCGGTGACTCTTAGTCACACGGTCAGGGCCGACTAGAGATCGTGTTGATTTGACAAATACTAATAGAGCGAATACATGGGTACTCCTTGGCATGCTCCCACACCACGTAAAGTGGTTTTCGGCGGCTACAAGCTAATTTCTACGTAAGACCGTCGTGGGCCATGCTCATCTGCTTTATTTGACCCTACTGCGATCATTCATGATTTAGTCAGCCCGTTGATATCCTGGGGAATCGGCTATCTGTAGCCATGGATTTTATGAGCTCGATCAAGCTGTGGAAACCGGACACCGAGGGCCTACAAATTGGCTCGATATCTTGACAAATCGTGTGCAACTAACATTCAAGTAAAGGGCACTTGCGCCAAACTCATACGATCGCCAGGATGCCCAAGATACTACAGCCGATTTATTTAATAGTCTTCGAATTTTTCAGAGAGTGCAGACGTGGTCTGCAATGTTAATTCAAACGGCAGGTCTGAAGCAATGGAGCTCGAAAACCCAAGGTCCTGCCTGCCGTTCGCATGAGCTGTCATCCATTATGCTCTTGCGTCATACACGGTAGGATTAGCAGTAGCACCTAATCGTGTGAGGCATGGATATAATTTTCGTATAGATTGGGAGGATGAGGCTGCAATCTTTTCCGAAGAGTGGGGTAAAGCGTTGCATCTATCACTATTATAAACAGATTTTCAGCTAAATTCTTCGTCCACGGAGGATTGATATGAACAAATTAAGTACATCGGGGTGCTTACCTGTTGTACATGTGCAAGTGACTCTGACACGTTCTGTGTGCTACTGTTCCATTTAATTAGCAAACTTTGTTCTCAGAGGATGATGCAGCTGATCGTCAACAAGTATTTTGTTCTTTTTCGATCCTGCGGCACCGAGTTGCCTAAATACAAGTTGGATGCTTTACAGACACAACTTGAAATTCCGTCCACACCCGACGCACCTATGCCTAGAATATTCTTTTCGTGTAACCTTGTCACTATCATTCATCAGGGTTCCTCTATGCGTATTTTTCACTCCACCGTAGGCACTCTTGATCAATTAATATTTTAGTTACAGTCGTTACTGATTACGTTTCAGAGCCCACTTCTGTTTCCGCCTTCCATAGTTGAAGTCTGGCCGGCTAATTAACCGGGGTTGATACGTTTAGGCTATATATGCGTAGGAAGTCCGATTGGAGGTCTGCAGAATTGCAACCAAAGTTCACATGATACCTATATTATCTTGTCTTGTTGGTCATCTGCTATCACGTTGCAAGGTCAACACGATCGAATGGTTTCTCATCCCGCTTCTGGCAACACTAGGACACTCCTTTCGATCTTCAAAACATTACAACTACCGCCTCCACCACCAACATAAAATTTATCCTATTATCGTCACAACCACATAGGCGTGATCGGTCACTTGCGCATCCGTTGTCAAGAGCTGGCGAACCCCAATCTACAGTCACGATAAACATCCGTCGTACACGCCTCGTCTTCTTACAGAGGTCCAGGTCATACACCGTATTGAATATATACGTAAACCTGACAGTGGAATTAACCGCAAGATAATCACTACAAAATTACTTCATACAGCTTGGGAATGCGTCGAACTGAGACTGAAGTATCAGGAGTTTCGAGACACACCCGTCACACTGCCCGGGAACACCTTACACAAACCCACCTCAGGCCACCCGACGCGCGCACAGAATTTGCATCATTCATGTCGATGGGAAGAATGTTC